GAGAGAGAGAGAGAGAGAGAGAGAGAGAGAGAGAGAGAGAGAGACACTAAACCAAAGAAATCTAGTACAAATTCTACAAATAAAAATTTAGGTTATAACAGCCTTCCAGGTTATGCCAAGGACCTTAAAATAAAAATATTATAGGAGAGAAGTGATCCATGTATAATATGGGAATTAAAAACTTTTGGATTCACTTTTAGAGATAAGCTACTTAGAACATTTCAATAATTAGGACCGGCCAGATGGCTCAGAGGGTAAAGGCGCTTGCCACCAAGCCTGAAGACCTGAGTTTGACCACCAGAACATATATGGTGGAAAGAGAGAATCAACTCCTTCAAGTTGTCTTGACCTCCACACATGTGATGTGCCAAGTGCATGCCTACATATACACACACAAACAAAATAAATAAATGAAAAATGAGGACATTTTAATAATTAATAAATTATATTTATTTTCCAAAAACACTTGAAATAGGGAGGGACCTAGAATGCATCCCTCTCCTCATCCCTAAACTGAGCTCTTCCTTCCCTGCTCTAGCCTGCTGTATGGCTTTGCACATCTTCTCACACTATCAAAACTTCAGTCACCAAGTCTCCATCAAAGTCTTTTCCCAGTGACTTCAAGACTTGACAAGTATTCCACACCTTGAATTTACAACAGATCATGTTGGATGCAGCATCCTCTGTCCTCCACAGCATCCTCCATCCTCCACAGCATCCTCCATCCTCCATCCTCCACAGCATCCTCCACCCTCCACAGCATCCTCTGTCCTCCACAGCATCCTCCATCCTCCACAGCATCCTCCACCCTCCACAGCATCCTCCATCCTCCACAGCATCCTCCATCCTCCATCCTCCACAGCATCCTCCACCCTCCACAGCATCCTCTGTCCTCCACAGCATCCTCCATCCTCCACAGCATCCTCCACCCTCCACAGCACCCCCCCCCCTCCACCCCCCTCCCCTGCCTCCCCCCCCCTCCCCCCCACCCCCCCCTCCATCCCCCCCAGCACCCCCCCCCCTCCACCCCCCTCCCCTGCCTCCCCCCCCCTCCCCCCCACCCCCCCCTCCATCCCCCCCAGCACCCCCCCCCCTCCACCCCCCTCCCCTGCCTCCCCCCCCCTCCCCCCCACCCCCCCCTCCATCCCCCCCAGCACCCCCCCCCCTCCACCCCCCTCCCCTGCCTCCCCCCCCCTCCCCATCCTCCACTGCATCCCCACCCGACCCCAGCATCCTCTGTCCTCCACCGCATCCTCCACCCTCTACAGCATCCTCCATCGTCCACAGCATCCTCCGCCCTCCACAGCATCCTCCATCCTCCACAGCATCCTCCATCCTTCACCGCATCCTCTATCCTTCACAGCATCCTCCATCCTCCACAGTATCCTCCATCCTATACAGCATCCTCCATCCTTCACAGCATCCTCCATCCTCCACAGCATCCTCCATCCTCCACAGCATCCTCCATCCTTCACAGCATCCTCCGTCCTTCACAGCATCCTCCATCTTTTATGCAGCTATTTCTCACTTTTTCCTTGCAGGTAGCCAATTAAGCTCTCTAATTCCTAGTCCTTGCTTTTCACCAGTGTGCCTTCTTATATGAATTCTCTCTAAACGAAGTTTCAGACGGACCCCAGTAGCAGCCAACCATGCCACTACCTGGGAGCTGAATTTAATGTCCCCTGAGTTATGAGTTGCCAACCACATCATTGCCTTTAGGGACACTTGACTGCTCTGATTCCCGCATGTTCCTTCCTTAGTACTATTCCCCACCCAAACTCTTCGATCCCTTGGGATGTTTCCAAGGTGAATCTTTCACCATCTGCTCCCTCCACTGCACCAAGCCCCTACCAACTGTCTTCTCTGTCATGCGTCCATCTTTATTACCTGTCTCTGAACTGAAGTTTTTCCTGAGCCAGACCCACCATCAGAATAATGGTGAGCCAGCAGGTGTTCTTAAGGATAAAGATGCTGGGGCCTTGTTCAGGTATACTGGAAACTCTGGGCCTAATCCTAAGAAATGTGGACTTTAGGGAAAACTGTGTGTAACTCTGATATAGCCTGCAGATATGTGGACCTTGGAGATGCACAGGTCCCTGTGCCTTTATTTGCTGGAGAATGTCCATGACTTTGAGCCTCATCTTCTTTTATCCTTTCATCCTTTATTTCATCCATTTTGTTTGCTTTTTAAATATTTTACTTACTATTTTTTTAAGTTTTATGTGTATTAATGTATTGCCTGCATGTGTGTAGGTACACCCATGTAATGCAATGCTTGCAGAAGTCAGTAAGGGTGGCAGGTCCCCTGGAACTTGAATTACAGTTGTTAGCCCCTATGTGGGTGCTGGGAATGAATCCAGGTCCTCTGGAAGAGCAGCCAGTGCTCTTAACCACGAGTCATCTCTCCAGCCCCTTTGTTTGGTTTTTAGATACAAGGTCTCACTATGTAGCTTTGGGTGGCCTGGAACTTCCTATGCGGACTGGGCTGGCCTGAAACTTATGGCATCTTTCTGTCTCAGTGTCACAAAAGCTCCTATAATATTACAAGTTTGCATCACCATGCCCAGCTGAAATTCTCTGTTATCAGCATCACCTTATAAACTTCTACCACTTGATAAATGTGCTTGACTTTGGATTCTCTCTCACATTTTTTGTAGCAAATAATCACCCCATCATTTCTAGACACCTTTCCTGTGCTTCTCTGAGCTCTGTCCCTCTCCATTCCCACCAACGAACTGGAATTCTTTCCTTCACTCCTACGTGATTTTCTGGGTTTCTCACTGGGTCCCAAAGCCAGTCTTTCCACATCTATACACCTACTCACTGGTTGTTGGGGAATCACCAATAGAGCATCAGAGTTGCGTACACCTGGATTAAAATCTCGGAGTCACTTCCTAATATCTACATGGCCTTAAGAAAGTAAGCGGAGACTCTATTTTCTGAGGTAGAAAGATAAGGGATCAGACATGTGACAGGTGTTGCTGCATTATAATTGGCCCTCACTGTAACCTTACATGTCAGGACCACATTCATCTACCCTCACTGCGTCATCTTTCGGCTGAACGTTATCTCACCCCTCTCAAATAAAGAACAATTTACCTTGTGACTACACCATTAATACTTCTGTACCTGGTATGTGATGGGGAGCTAGTGAACTTAATCTCTCCATGCCTCTATTTCCTCTCTTGTAAAATGTGTATAAAGTTGTCCAGCTCCCGGGGTTATAGTAAGGAGTCAATGAATAAATACTTCCATATCAAGTGCTTTGCACAGTGTCTGACAGCTGGTGTACAGGAGGCGCTGGATTACTGTTAAATGTAATATTAGCAGCCACGCCACAGCTCCGCAGTAACCACTGCTCCCATCCTGCTGTCCCCGCACTGCATAGCCTCTCCTCACGCAGTGTTTCATCAGCTCCCTTCTCTCCCTGATGGTGTGAGTCACCTAGTGGTCATAAATGAATAACTGCCAAGTTAAATATAATCGCCCTCGTGCCCAAGTGAGTCCTGGCCTTGCCCTGGGTTCAAAAGACTCCTCTGTGTCAGCCTTCTCTACTCTTTCTCAAAGCTGGAAGCCAAAAAGTTCACTTGTTCGCCTTCCTTTTCCCAAACGGCTCTTCCAATCGTAGCACAGCACAGGTTTTCCAACAGCACAGAGTTCAGGGGACAAGCTCATGTGTACACTGAACACTAGATCACTCACTTTTCTACACTGTCCAAAATTCAAGTCATATAATAAACATGGCATCACTGCAATTTTGAAAAAGAAAATTCAAGGTTTACTACGTATTAGTCATTGATAGTCTCTCTCTCTCTCTGTCTGTCTCTCTGTCTCTGTCTCTGTCTCTCTCTCCACTTGAGACAAAGTCTCATTCTTAGCCCATGCGGGCCTTGAACTCATGAAGATTCTTTTACCTCATCAGAAGAAGGTGCTGAACCCCTCGTTATGGATGGTTGTTAGCCACCACGTGGGTACTGGGATTAGAACCTGGGTTCTCTGCAAGAGAAGTCAATGCTCTTAATGAAGCCATTTCTCCAACCCAGACTTCTATTCTTAAATAGTGATAGGAATATAGGCTGGGGAAATGGCTTAGAGGACATGAGTTCTTTTTCTTCTATTATTTTTATGTGTATGAGTGCATTGACTGCATGTATGTAAGTGCACTTTTGTTGTGCAATACCCATAGAAGTCAGAAGAGGGGATCAGATCCCCTGGAACAGGAGTTACAGATGGTTGTTAGCTGCCATGTAGGTGCTGGGAATCGTACCCAGGTCCTCTGTAAGAGCAACCAGTGCTCTTAACCACTGAGGCATCTCTCCAGTCCCGAGGACATGAGTTCGGATTGTCAGCACTGAAATAAAAAGCTGGACACCAGGCATACGCCTGCAACTCTAGTGCTGGTAGCAGTCAGGGGAGACACACGGGTCTCTGGAAGCTCACTGGTCAACCAGTCTAGCTGAGTCAGTGAGCTCCACATTCAGTGACAGATTCTGTCTCAAAGAATAAGGTGATGAGCAATTGAGGAAGACACCTGCTGCCCACCTCTGGCCCGCACACACATGCATACACATGTGTACACATACTTGCACATACACACACAAGTAGTAATAGGAATTGTATACTTCATAGCAGTGGGGTCCCAGAGACACTTTTCATGGTATCTTTACTATGGATGGAATTTTTTGATAATAGACTAAGCAACACAGCCAGGATTTAAACCCACATCTGTGAGTTTCCAAAGACCTAGCTGATCCATTACTAAGATGCTTCAGTTCCACTAGCGGCTCTAGTAAAACACAGACAGAACAGATGTTTGAAGATACACCCAGTACTGGGTTAGAAGGCACCTCGGAGCAAGGTGAAGGACACAGGCCTAGAATCAGACCAAAAATGACTGATTTTCAGCAATTTCATTTGGTTTAACTTTGAACAGTGAATCATTTGATTTGTGATTATTTAATCTTTTCTGGCTTCAGTGTTTTCAATTAGAAAATGATGAATCTGGTTGGAGCTCCTTCATTTTTAAAAGTCCTAAGATAGCCATCCAGCACTTGACACACACCTGTAATTCCAGCACTTGGTAAGAGGAGGCATTTCAATAGTAATGAAATTAACATACACGACCCTAGTCTCATCAAGCTAATATTTTTGCACTCTTGGGACTCCTTGACTGGAAAACATATCGGTCATTATTGAATAAACATTTGTGTGAATCTGGGGAGGGAGGAGGCAGCCAGCAAAACTTCTCTATGTGGAGTAGAAAGAGGTCGCTGTACTTGTACCTGCTTCTGGTTTCTGCCAGGAAGCCAGCACCAGGGCTGCTGCCTCGGGGAGAGTCATTAGCTGGAGACTTGGGTTTCGTCTTTCTGGAGAAACAGAAACATGCACAGCCTTGAATATTCCTGTACATAACTCAGATACTCAGGTCACTTAGATAGTCACGCAAATAAGTCTTTTTCTGCTGTGCTATGTATAATACTAGAGAGACTTCTAGGAAGTTGAAGGAGTATACTGCATATTGATTTGTGTGTTTATTTATTCATTTTATTTGTTTAGATTTTTTTGAGACAGGCTCTCATGTAGCCCAGGCTGGCCTCGAACTAGCTATGCAGTAGAGGATGACCTTGAACTCCTGATCCTCCTACCTGCACTTCACAAGCAAAGGGATTACAGTTGTGTACCACCCGGCGCTGCTTTATTCCACACTTATGTTGGCAGAAGACACAGTCCTGACTCAACACAAACCTTGAGTTTTAATGGGAAGTAAGAGGAAGTTTGGAAACCCTATCCTCACAAAACGAGTTTAAATAAAATTAAACAGCAAACAGGAAGAATTGAAAGAAAAGCATGTTAAGTATCTGCTGTTCACTCAGCAGTGTCGAACAGGTTTCAAAACGAGGTTTTTTTTTTATTCTTAGCATTTGCCTATAAATTTTTACCAAAATTATTTGTATTCCTTTTCTAAAAATGCAATGATGAGCCAGGAGTGGTGGGCACGCCTTTAATCCCAGCACTTGGGAGGCAGAGGCAGGCGGATCTCTGTGAGTTCAAGGCCAGCCTGGTCTGCATAGTGAGTTCCAGGACAGCTGGGGCTACAGGGAGACCCTGTCTCAAAAACACCAAAAAAAAAAAAAAAAAAAGCGATGGCGGCACAAAGTTTTTCAGGGGAAGCAGTAAGACCCTGGCGCTAGTCTTAATGGAGCCTACTTTTAAATTTTTGGTTTTAAACCCTTGAGTAGCTTTTTCTAGTCACTTAAGAGAGACACAGGTTTGAAACTTCTGAGTCATTATTTAATAGTAATTACTGGTGAAGAGGAACACGGGTAGGGCTCTTGCCATAAATGTCCCAAGGCGCTTCTAGAAGCAGCCACACAGTTCTCGCCTCGCGTGTCCCTGGAGACTTCGGCTCATCCATTCTGCCAGCCGATAACTCAGCGAGCGGCGCCCTCCCTCGGAGCCACCCTGCGCCAAGGCGCAGCATCCGCACCCGGCCACCCACCTGGCGGCATCCTGTCCGCGAGGTCCTTCCTGCGGCTGTGGTCAGAGATGAAGCGGCGCCCCTCTGCAAAGAGATGGGGTGACGGGGAGGGGCGGTCGGCGCACCCGCCAGTGGATCGCGGGACACCCTGGCCCAGGCCACCTAGCTCTTCCTGCCCCGTCCTGGTGGGCCACCGCGTTTCCAGCGCCCGCAAGGCGACCCAGGGCTGCCGGAGACCCGAGGAATGGCCACAGGCTCTGGTCCAGTTCACATTCCACCTCCCTCCCTCCCTCCCTCCCTCCCTGGGCCCCTCCCACCCTCTTTCTCTTCCTTCTTTGCATGACGGGCTCTTAGGTTGGCCTGGAACTCACTATGTAGGCCAAGCTAGCCTGGAACATGCGGTCCTCCTGCCTCTGTCTCCAGAGTGCTAGGATTAGAGGCGTGCGCCCCACGTCGGGTTCCCCTCTGATTCAGGATGAAGGGTTTCTGAGTCAGGCCATCTTTCTCTGTCCCCTCTCTCCCTCACCTGCCTTTTCTGGATTGCCTAAGACCTTAAGCATTTAAGGGAGCCAAATGGACATAGTCTCTGCAAGACTCTCTAGGTCAGAACAGGAAGAAGTGTTGCGAACTTACGGGCCCCCTTCAGATAGAGCATAGCTTGGGGAGTCCAGTTCCTTCTCTCAAATAGTCTCTGCAGCCCAGGGAGAAGAGAACAGTTAACAACGAAGGGGGGGGGGGGGGGGGGGGGACGGGACACACGCACACACACACACCGAAGAGGGGAACTGGGCACAATTAGATTGCAGCAGGGGCCCCTTTCTCAGTTTTGGATTACCTGCGGAGCACCACTGCAGTTTCCCAGGATAGAAAGAGCCAGAAGAAACACCAGGGCTGTTACTGCCAGCCTGCGGGCTCCCTGCATAAAATCAAAGACAGGGTCATCAAGCCCTGTACTCCAGTAGTCTGTATTAATCTACAAGGAGTAACTTTAAAAAAAAAAAATGGAAATGTTATTTTTATAACTTCACCCCAACAAAGAATTGGGGAATAACTGATTTATTTTTTCTCAGCAAAATCAAATGATTGTACTATTTTAAAGGCATAGTCTTCAAATATCGTGTCATGAAAATGCTCATTAAATATAACACAGGTAGAAAGATACAAGCTTTTTATAAATCAGCTAAGAATGTGTTACATGTCTAAATCTGTAGCTTACCTTCATGTTCTGGTCCTTTCCTTTGCCCCACAATAGCTGAAACTTCACCTGTGAGTCTTCCAACCTTGTTACAACCTGGGGCTTTTAAAATCTTAGTGTCAAGTCTGCACAGAGGGGAGGATTCCACCCGGGCAGCTTGTCAATCTTCAGGACTGAGCTGATCTGATGACTCCTCTGGGGAGAGTCAGTTGCCGGATGCAGGAGAATGATTGATGAGCGGATATCATTTGTTTAGAAATGGCTCACACCAGGGAGGCGAGTTCTGACTGTGTCCGCATCATTGCCTTGTTTAACTGTCCAAGGCATTTTATCATCATAATTATTAATGAAAACGATCAATAACCCAAGGTAGAATCAAAAGCAAACAGTAAAGTAACTAGCTATGGCGGATGATGAATCACCTGGGTGAACATGGAAAGGTTAAGGACTCTCAGAGGGACTTGGCATCAGTCACTTACTTAAGTACCCATCCATTCAATTAAATATTTATTGAATGCTTACCACCTAGCAGACAAATTCCCTTATACCTCAAGCATCCCAATTGGCTCTCAAGTTTGCCTTCTAGTTAAGGGAGACACTGTCTAAGGTGATTACAGGTTAGTAAAGTATGCTTTAGGTTAGTAATCCAAGGGAGACAGAGACTGATAAGGTGATTACAGGTTAGTAAAGGATGCTTTAGGTTAGTAATCCAAGGGGAGACAGAGACGATAGATAGGGTAAGTGTTGGGCTTCCTTAGAGGAAGTCAAAGTCAAAGTAAATTTCAAAGGTCAGGGTGTCAATCATAGGATAAGCTGGACCAGGAATCTGAAATTTGTATTCCAGGCACTCCTGACACAAGAATGAGAAGGGAAACCTGGGATGGCAAACAGTTTGGCTCATTTGAGGAAGAGGAGGCTGACTGACAGAAGGAAGGAAGCAATGTTGTGGGGGTCACAGGGGAGAGGACTTTGAAATGAAGTCGGAATGGAAGAGCTGAAACTGGTTCTAAGAGAAATGACAGCTTAGACTAGAAGAGAAGCAGCAAAGGTTAGGGCTGTAAATGAGTTTGGGTAGAAAATACAGGGCAGGAGAGTGTGCTCCTGGACTTTTTACTTCAATACTGGGTAAATGATGAAGCAGTTTACAGAAACAATAGAGGCTTCTTAAGGAAGCAGTTAGAAGGGTTCCCTCATAGGCACGCAAAGATAACAATGTATGTGACATGTAAGGCAAGTATAAATCAGGCACTTGGAAATGTCATCTGCAGGACCTAGCAAAGAGGCCATTCACTTACAGATTTTTGCTTTCTGAACAGAGAATGCTCAGCTTCAAGAACTCTAAGAATTCTGATGTTAAAGTAAGGGAAAAGATTGGGAGGGAATGTAACCATTAAAAGAGAAAGGAATAGAGCTATCTAAGCAAACCTACAGAAATTGAGACGGAAAGATCCAGAAAAACAGGTGGAAGCATAGCAATCACAAAAGCAGTAATTCCAGGGGTCTCTCCTGTTACAGAGGCAAGAGCACATTCAGCCTGAGGAGATAGCTGAGCAAGTGAAGGAGCCTGCAGCCAAGTCTGACGACCTGAGTTTGATCCCCAGGCCCCACATGGTGGAAGGAGAGAACCAATCCTGAAAGTAGTCCTGTGGCCTCTGCACAGTGCGCAGTTGCATACACACATGAGCACAGGCATGTGCACATATAAACACACACATGAAATAAAATAAATGTAATTTAAAAATTAGAACTCAAGGGGTTGGAAAGATGGCTCTGTGAAGAGTGACTGCTCTTGCAGAGGAACTGGGTTCGAATCCTAGCTCCCACATGGCAGCTAACAACCATCTATAACTCCAGTTCCAAGGAATCCGATGCCCCTTCTGACCTCTGTGAGCATTGTGCAACATGGATGAACTTACATACATGCAGGCAATACACTCATACACATAAAAGAAATTAGAGCTCAAGCAAAATGAGGTCTAGGAAATAGCAACGGCTATGAAAGTATGGTGTTTTATGAGGACAGAGGCTGAAGTGGGTTACATAGAAAATACAATATGAGGAAATCAGGACTGGTGAATGCCACTGACCTTGACCCAATGAGTAGGAAAGCTTTAGGATAAAAGGCATGATGAAAATCCCCGTCTGTATGGTTAGGAGACCAGCTAGAAGTAGGAACAGTAGTAAGTCTGGGCACAGGACAGGTAAGTGCCGTTCAGGATTGCAGCTTTAGGGGGGAGGAGTGTGTGTGTGTGTGTGTGTGTGTGTGTGTGTGTGTGTGTGTGTATGTAGAGGTTGGTGGGTGTCTCCCTCAATCACTATCCACCATATATATTGAGGCCTGATCTCTCACTGAACCCTAATTCAGCTAGTCTAACACTTGCCCCAGAGATTGCCTGTCTCTGCCTTGTCAACACTGGAATTACAAATACCTCCTACGTAGATTCTGGGGACCTGAGCTCTGGTCCTCAAGCTTCTGTGGCTAGCACTTTATCCACTGAGGTTGCTATCTAGCCCCAGGATTGAGGCTTGAAGGACTAAGGCTGTTTACTTGAAAATACTTGGAAATGAGATTGGAATTTGAATGCCTAGCATTTAGACTTGGGCATTGTGTAAGGACAGAAAAACTGAGGTTTGGTTAGTGTCAAAGTTACTTTTCTGTTGCTGTAATAACCAAGCAAAGCATTTTAAAGGAGAAAGTGGGCTGGTGAGAAGGCTCAGTGGGTAAAGATGCTTCCCTTCAAGCCTGACAACCTTAATTCGATCCCTGAGACACACATGGTAGGAGAGAACCAGCTTTGACAAATTGTCCTCTGACCTCCACACATGCACCATGGCAGGCACGCACACACACACACACACACACACACACACACACACACACACACACATGCACACACTCACACTAAACCAATGTAAAGGAGAAAGATTTCATTTCGGTTCACAGTTCCAATAGTACATTCCATCATGGTGGGGAAGTCAAGGTGGTGGCTGGAACTATGAACACTGGTGCTCAGCTCACTTTGTCATTTATACACAGTCCCACAGTCCAGGATCCTAGTCCAGGGAATGGTGTCCCCCATAGCGGGCAGGGCTTCCCACATCAATTAACCCAATCAAGCTAATGCCTCAGAGGCATGTCCAAAGGCCCATCTCCCAGGTGACTCTGACTCTAGATCTCATGAAATTGACAACTGAGTGTAACCACCACAGCTAATAAATAAAAATGGAAAACAGAAAGCAGTTTGTAAGTAGAAATGTGCTATCTCTTCTAAGGAATCAAGGAAGCAACCCAGAGGAAGTGATGTAGGGGTTTCTTCCCACCTTTTTAGGAGAGAAACTAAAAATTAAGCCTAAGGGACTAAGGGGATGTATCGGTCAGTAAAAGCACTTTCTCTGTAAGCCTGAGGACCCAAGTTTGATCCCCAGCACCAATGTAAAAAGCCGGGTGTAAGGCTAGTGATGGAGAGGTGGAGACAGGAGGGTCCCTGGGCTCACTGGCCTGTCAGTCTAGCTGAACTGGTGAACTTCAGGTGCAATAAGAGATTCTGTGTCAAAAAAACAAGGTGGAGAGCAATTGAGGAAAGACAGCAAACAGCCTCTGACCACACACACACACACACACACACACACACACACGCACACATTCAAAGAAACAACAACTACACAACCCTAATCAGGTCATTACAGGAACTGGATGGAATTATAATGATGCTTCAAATAGAAGATTTTAGTTCAAAGGATTTTAGCAACTACCTCCAAAGAGGACCAACAAAAGAGACGAAGCTTGTTTCAGTGAAGCCATGAAATCCAATTCCTTGGTTACCTATCAGGCAAAATGCGTCTTCCCCATGTCTCATGTTAGAAACAACAGCGAGATGGCTCAGTGGGTGAAGGGACTTACTGCTGAGCCTGACATGTTTGGTCCCTGGGACCCATAGAGTTGGAAGTTGTCCTCTGATCTTTACGTGTGTACTGTAACCCATGTATGCGCATGCACACACACAATTCAATAAATACATATAATAATTTAAAAAACACATCAAAGTTTTAGGAAATAGAGGAAATTGAATCACCACTAAAGCAAGCCTTGAACTTTCCATCTTAAGGAAGAATAAATAGGCTTTGTTCCTGTCAGTTCAACCAGTGAATTCATAAGCAGGTGTTTTACGTCAAAGCTGCCATTTTCAGTGTCACAGGACAATGAAGAGAATGGTTCTGACACGTTATCAATGCTGTAGCAGAAAGGCAGACGCATCTTCTGAAAGGGCTGACAAAGGGCACTGGTCCCCAGGAACATGCTTCTGCTAATAACAAAACTTCAAAGGCATTTCTTTACAACTTTGAACCAAGAGATGTGCTAAGTTACTTGGTTAGAAACAAATGGTGGGTCAAAGTACTGAATTTTCTTGGGTTGACCAAATGAATAAGCAGGAGTTGTTGATCAAATAGACTCCTATACCTTCCTTAAAGGTGTGTTCAGTGGAGAGCATTATGCCTTCATCACCAGGGTTAGGTTCTAATAGTTGGCTCTAGGATGCCCAGGCTCCTTTTGAACAGAAATCACCTGTCGTTGTTTAAAGTGAGAGTCCTTCAAATATTTTATATCCAATGGGGTACTATTTGGCCATCAGGAATGATATGTCATGATTATGATGTCATCATGTTAAGTGACATAAGCTAGATATAGACAAATACTGCATTTTCTTTCCTACATGGAAACTAGAAGTTTTAAAAAGAACTAAAAGTAATAGAGAGCCATCCAGGCAGGTTAACAGAACCCAAGTCAGGAGGCAAACAGATGGGTGACAGAAGGTGATTGAGAGGATGTAAATGAAGCTTGATGTGTGCATGTATGCAAATGTCAGTGAAGACCACTAATATTTATAGTTAATATGTAATAATGGTTATGAAAATAAAGGGATTTATTCTTGCCATTGATGACTGTGTTCACATGGAAAATTTGTTGCACTGTCTAACATTCCCTGGATAATATGATTATTATGGTATCAAGATAACAAAAAAAGTAGTAATGTTTTGATGACAGAACACTCATTTGGGTTGGTCAGTGTCTTAGTTAATTCTCTGTTAAAATACCCTAACAAAAGCTACTTATGGGAGAAAGGGTTTATTGTGGCTCACAGTTCCGGAGGACACAGTCCATCACGGTGGGACAGACATGGCAGCAAGGACAGAAAGCTTGGAGGGAGCAGTAGGAAGCTGGATGGTCACTTTGCATCCTACTCAGAAAGCAGAGTGTGAACAGGAAGTGGGTCTGGGTTACAGAGCCTCAAGGCCCACCCCCAGTGACCCATTTCATATAGCCAGGCTCCACCTTCTAAAGATTCCACAATCTTCCCAAACAAGGCCACCAGCTAGGGAGCAAGTGTTCAAGCATGTGAACCTATGGGGGACATTCCACACTCAAACCCTAACGAATACCATGGGTGATACTATGCGTTTGGTCTTGGACATTGACATTATTCTGTGTCAGGGCACCTGCCCCTTAGGCCACTCTCCTCAATAAAGGGAAGAAATCATTTTCCAAGGTGCTGCTAATTATAGAAGGGGCATTAAGAAGGCTCTGGTTGAAAAAGAAACACCCCTTCAATGGCTAGTCTTTACTTCATCTATTTTACTTAGGCTTTAATCCCTGATGAACTCCCACCCAGGGACACACAATAAAAATCTCTCAGCTAGCTGCAAATCTTTCCAGATCCTTTCTCAGCATTACATAGAGAGGGTGTGAAATTACTGGTGTTCAGAGATGAGTTAGGGATTTGGGGGTTAGATAATAGTTAAGCAAAGAAAGCTAAACTTCACCTATGTTTCACTATTACTTAAATTATTTTAAAACTCTCCTCCAAAATGCCTGAGCATTGTGTGCAAGAAGTCATGTACAGTCTCTGTTCTGGTTAGCCTTGTCAACTCAACATAGCCTAGAGTCATCTAAGAGAACTCTGCTGAGGAACTGCCTAGATCAGGTTGGCCTGCAGACATATCTGATATCTGTGAAGAATTGTCTTATTGATGTAGGAGGACTGAAGCCATTGTGGGTGGGACCATTTCTGAGGCATGTGGTCCTGGGCTGTATAAGAAAGCTAGCTATGCATGATCCCGAGAGTGAAGCAGAGCGGACTGACAAGCAGCCTTCCTCTACGGTTTCTGTTTCAAGTTCCTGCCCTGACTTCCCTCAATGATGGACTGCCACTTGGAAGTATATGCCAAAGAAACCCATACTTCCCTAACTTGCTTTTGGTCAGTGTTTTATCACAGCAACAGAAGCACAGTCACCATGGCTACAGGATGAGGAGTGCAGCTTGGTTGTGGATGGTGACGAATGCATCTTATAAAGACAGATACAGAAAAAAAGCCTTGGATCAAGATACTTCAAAATACTATCTATAGCTTTTTGAAAATGTTGAGTCTCCAAGATATGAACGAACCAACAATTACATAATTATGAATTAGGTTGAACACTGGTGGAAAGAGGTCTCACTGTGGTGGTTTGAATGGGAAGTGTCCCTCATAGGCTCACGTGTTTTAACACCTGATCCCCAGTCAGTGGTGCTGATTGGAAGGTTAATGGAACCTTTGGGTGAGGCCTTGATGGAGGAAGAATAAGACTGCGGGAGGTAGGGGTGGGGGTGGGGGGAGGAAGGTAGGGAGGGTAGATTTGAGTTTTATAGCCTGGTACAGTTCTTATTTGCTCTTTGCTTCCTGACTGCTAGGCAGGCCTCACAGTCCTGCTCTCATGTGCTCCCCATCATGATAGACTGTGTCCCCTCTGGAACTGCAAGCTGTAAATAATTCTTCCCTAACTTGCTTTTTGTCAGAGAATTTTAATCACAGCAATAGAAAATAAATCAGTAAGATCGTCAAACAGAATGTGGGGGCAGGCAGTGGTCCTGTTTCTATTTTCCTAACACTTGGAAAATAGCAAAAATTGGAAAATTGGCAAAACCCACTTCCACATTAATTTTTAACTCGTCTTTTGAGTATAGTAATGGACACTAAGTTTCACCTATGAGCCTTGTAACCATGCCCTGAAAGGAAGGTTAGGAACAGCACAGAATTCAAAACATTTCAGACATCCTACTTTTGTGCACTACTCATACACAAGACAACAGGACTGGAGTTGGAAACTTGTGATTCCTGGACAAGATTTGGGAGATGGCTATTTATCATCTATCTATCTATCTATCTATCTATCATCTATCTATCTATCTATCTATCTATCTATCTATCTATCTATCTATCTATCTATATCTATCATCTATCTATCATCTATCTATCTAATCTATCATCTATCATCATCTATCATCATCTATCTATCTATCAATCATCTATCATCTCTCTTTCTATCTATCTATCTATCTATCATCTATCTATCTATCATCTATCTATCATCTACTTATCATCATCTATCATCTACCTTCTATCATCTATCATCTGCCTGTCTCTGTCATCTATCATCTGTCTCCTATCATTTATGTCATCACTTATTTTATAATTTATCATCTATCAATGACCTACCATAATTCCAATGGCCTGGAATTATGTAGCCCAGACTGACCATGAACTGGTAACCCTCCTGCTTCAGCCTCTCAAGTGCTGGGATATTTATTAATAGATTCAAGACTTTCAGCTCCTGTTGACAATTAACTAAAATCTAGTTCTATTACTGCATTCAATACTTACTGGGCCAGTGGTGGGTTTGGCCACTGGTATTTTGGCTGTACCACATTTTATGCTGAAAATACTGCAGATGACTGAGGACTTGCTGCACCCAGGTGACAATTTTTCAAGTGTCATAAATTCTTCCAGAAAAAAAAGTATTTTGAATTTAGAAATTAATCTCCACTCACTTCTAAATTCACTGTTCATTTGAAAACAGTTGTAATGAATGGCAGCAATTGCAGCAGTTTTTGGTAATACATCCAGCAATAGAAAATCTATAGCTTCTAGATACACCAACGACATCTCTGAATTCTGAGGTTTACATTAAAAAAAAAAGTCTCCTGATCCTTTCCATATATCTCAACCTGCAGTAACTCATTATATATATAATTATATATAATTA